TTCATTTGTGCTTTTTTCCCTCTCATGACCAACACATTCATAAGATCCTCAAAATCTTATTTTTATCTATATTCATACTTATTTGCCTAAGGTAGTTTCCTAGAAGTCATTCTGTCAAGTTCAACGGTGTGCATGTTTTTAATCTTGCAACATTCCACTGAACAGCCAGCCTTTCAGAGGGTTTAACAGCCGAAACTCTGGGGCATTTTAAAATTCATGTGTCTGCCTTCCTGTTCACTTTTACAAGGAGGACAGGAGTTGACTGTTGCCAAAGAAAGGCCACTTTACGAAGAGGTCCCCTGCCTTTTCGTACCCACGCCCTGATTTCCTTTTGGGGAATTGCCTCTAAGCCTGGTGCAGTCTGACAGGGGCTGGAGAGTTAGTTAGGAGGGTCCCTTGGGCAGGAGAGAAGACAGGAGCAGAGCTGTGGAGAAGGCTCTGCCCTTTTGCTACCAAGCTAGACTGCAAGCTGTGTGTTCCACACGCCTGGGACCGAGGTAGGGGCAGAGCGCTCTCCCACCTTCCCACCCTGAAAGTCTTCTCTGCTGTAGTTAAGGCCTTTGGATAATGCACTGGCCCCCCTTTCCTTTCCCTAAATCCAACACACTGGACTACTGACCAGAAGATGGGAGTCCACCCAGAAGTGCCCGAAAAGAAAAAGCTAGCAATCTACTTCTGAAAATTCAGCCATTGGAACCCCTCTGTGTTTACCCTGACATGCATGGGGTCACCATGAGTTGTCATGAGCTGGATGATCACTTGATGGGCAGAGGGAAACACAGAACGAAACACAGCATATGTATGTTTGTTGAGATGACCTGGAGGGTGACTGTGAGAGTCAGAAAGAGAGGCACTGAGGGCTGTAATGTTCACCATGTAACTGCCTCCTTTGGCTTTGACCCTAAAGAAAGCCCCAGGAGACATCCACTTAGAAAGAGGTTGGAGACACTGGAGCCTTTCTCATACTAGACTCGTGCTGCCATCTGGTGGCGGGCAAGGGATGCTCGAGTGGAGGGAGACCTTGTATAGTGGGGAAGGCCAGGGCTGGGTGGGCAGGACAGGGAGGAGACCCAGAGCTGTCCGTTGGGCACCTGGCAACTCAGGGTGCCATATAAAGAATGCAAGGCTAAGAATGACTCTCAATAGTAAATGCAACATGTGCTTATACCTTGTAAGTCAATTCATCCTCTCAGCGTGTTCTGTGCAGTACACAACCCGTTTCCTCCTCTGTGTCTCTACCCAGAGCAAATTTAAAGGGCAGCTTTGCTCCCTTGAGCCGGCCAGAGATGGAAAGTAGGGGAGTACCTTGCCTGTGCCCATGAATACACCCTGGGGTCAAGGGGGTTGTGCATTCAGGGTGCTGACTGCAAAGTCCGGGTGCAAACCCACCAGCCACTCCTTCCAAGAAAGATGGGGCTGTCTGCTCCCATAAAGATGACAATCTCGGAGACCCAAAAGGGCCAGGCGGACTCTGCCCTCTGTGGGCGCTGAGTCAGAACCAATTCCATAGCATTGAGGTTTGTTATTTCAGCCAAGGTTCCGAATTGCGTCCCTATTGCTTGTGTGAAACAAGGAGAGAAACAAAGCCCCCCAGAGACACCGTTTGGTTTCAGACAAGCCACTTTCCAGTTTACCTCTGAACTCAAAGAGGGCTTCTCAGGCTCCCCAGGAACAGGCCCCCGCTGGCCTCCATTGAGACCCAGGACCCTTCAGTCACCCTCCATCTGAGGAACCCCACCCGCTACGTGGGCTGAGCGGTGGGCCTCTGAGCAAAAGGTCAAGAGTTTGGGCTCAGCAGCCACTCCGGGCTGCAGTCTGCTTCCAGACAGATTGCCACCTGGGAGACTCCCCAGGCAGTTCTGCTCTGTCCACCCGCTCCAGGTGGGCAGCGATGCCTCGGCATCCACACCTCTGTGTGCTCGGAGGAGTGGGGGACCAGCAGCATGCTTCCTGCCAGAGCCACCCAGATCCGTAAGAAACCAGCCGCGTGTAGTTTACAGTTTGTATTTTTTTTTCTTTCCCTCTTTAGAAATGTATCCAGACCGATATCCCACGGTTGAGAAGGTGTGTTGCATGAAGTTTATTTCTAAGGCCCTGTGGCTCTGTGAGTTAGGTGCCGGGCCAGTGATTCAAATCCACCAGCCGCTCCAAGAGAGAAAGACAAGATGGTCCGTTGTCGAAAAGATGACAGCCTTGGCGGCCCTATGGGACAGTTCTGGCCCGTAGGGCCACGATGAGTCGAAATTGACTCCATGGCTGCAATGGTTGTTTGGGTTTGTGCTATGAAAAGAGTGATTCTCACCTCTTACTTAAATTATTATCCTTCAACAAGCTGATGAAGCTGCTTCAACAGTGGGCCCGGAATTTATATAAATGAGATAAAGGAATGGATTTGGAGCTCACAGTTGGTAAATCCTAATCTAAGAATGATGCCTTCTTAGGAGGCGGCCCTGCTGAGTTCTTGCCCTCATGAAGTGGTGACTGACGATATGGGTCCTATAGCACAGTCTGGCAAAGATATCAGAAAGAATAGTGTCTGGGGTCTTAAACTTGCTCAAAAAGCAAACTCACAGCCATCGAGTTAATACGAGTTAATACTGACCCGAAGCAATTCTAAAAGACGGAGTAGAACTGCTGCTGTGAGTTTCTGAAACTATAACTATAAACTATAACCGGGAATAGAAAGCCTGGTCTTTCTCCCACAGAGCAGCTGGGGGTTCTGAACTGCTGACCTTGCAGTTAGCAGCCCAATGCATAACCAGTGTACCACCAGGGTTCTGGCTTAAAGTAAGCAACTGTCTAAGAGCGGAGTCAGCTACATGGAAGGAGCATACCAATCTGTATGAGCCAAGGATTATACATAATAAAATCCAGTATCAGGGGAAGGAATGTATTAGAGCTTAAATTCTAACCACTTGGTTTACAAAAGGTTATAGATGGAAGCGAAAGCCAACATTCCATTTGCCGAGTCCCTGCTTGGTTTAAAAGCCCGTTGAAACCTCAGGCCATTGTTTTAGTCTGGGTACTTTAGAGAAACAAATCCACAACAACTCATGTATAAGAGAGAGCTGTATATAAGAGTTAAATGTGCATCAAGAAAACATCCCAACCTAGTGCTGCCCAAGACCACAAGTCCAACATTAATCCATTCACCCATATGCCCAACACCAATCCACAGAGTCCTCCTCCATCTCACAATACAGACGTAATGATGCCGACTGCAGGAGGAAAGCCGAGTCAGTGAACATGTAAGCATCTCAGCGCTGACAGGGGTCTCCACACGGCTGCTCCAGCACCCAGGGCTGCATGTGGCTTCTCCTTGGGGATGTCTTGCAGGAAGTCAATCTTGCAAGCTAATGCAGGGAACTGCTAAGTTAGCTGTACCCTGGTGTGACCATCACAAAGCAAGAGACCCGAGACTCACTGAGCCGTTTATCCCTCAGCCCTTCAATTAATCCCACAATGTGCTTATTGGCCAGGTAGGCACAATAAACTAACAAACTCAGCCATTGTCCAGAGATGTGAAAAGTCTTACCCTCAGACAGAATGCACTGGAAAGTGGATTCCTGCACATATAGTTAGGTTAAAAATTTAATATATTATCATTTGTTCTCCCTCTTAACTTGCTTTATTTTTTTAATTCTAGTTTCTTTGGTCTTCTGCTTTCTCTGAAATTTACATTTGTTTTGTGTTTTATTTTGTTGTCACTGTTGGACTTGGGGGTATGATTTTCTTGACTTGAAATCCAGGATGTAGGAATCTAGAGATACAGTCACTAGATTAATGCTAATCTGTTAGCATTATGACTGGGAGAGTAGGGAGGTAAGGGGAAGCTAATAACATAGGGTATAGAAATGAAGAAAATGTTCTAAAATTGATTGTGGTGGTGATTGCACAATGCTTTTAAATACATTTAAACCACTGAATTGTGTGGTATGTCAATACAACTGTTTTAAAATTTTTAGTGAAAAGAATGATCCTCAAATATACTTTGTGATCTCACCACTAGAATTAGAATTTGTCTGCAAAAACTTCAACATCATTCATACTTAAAAGAAAAGAAAGGCTGGTGTTACTATCGCCAAGGCTTTCTCTCCTTTGAATACCATCCTGGGCCAGAGTCTCCTCTTACACACAAAGCGCAGCCTCCACCCGCTTGCTCAGCCACTCCACACACAACACACTGCCTGCTGCGGCCGTGGGCTGCTTGCTCTTCTCCAAGCAGGCACCCTCTCACTGCTGAAGCATCTGTTGCTAATCTTACCATTTCCCTACCTTTACACATATTTCATTTCCCTTTGCTTATGATCAGTTAGAAGCCCTGGTGGCATAGTGGTTATGAGCTGGGCTGAGATCTACAAGGTCAGCAGTTTGAAACCACCAGGCCCTCTGAGGACTTCTACGCCATAAAGTGTTACAGCTTCAGAAACACAGAGGCAGCTTTACCCTGTCCTACATGGTCCGTGGGCTGACATGGACTCGATGGCAGTGAGTTTGCTCCTGGTTTTTGTATGATCAGTTAACTTTATGGTCAATTAACTCTACTCGCTCATTGAGGCAATCAAGACTATTAATCATCTACTCTGCACCCAGGTGTTGGGAGAAAGTCACTCACAGTCAGGAAGAAGACCAGGACAAGAGACCATCACACTGTGGTACTGAAAAGGCTGAGCAAGAGATTTACCCATGGTGCTTCACCTTCCGTTTGCACTTCCCTGTGCTAGCCACAGCTTCTTGACCTCCACCCACAGCGGAGCCTGCAGGTTCACTTGTGGCAAAAAGACCAGATGGCCCTTCTGGTCCTACTGTGGCACAAACCCAGCCATGGACTGAAAAGGAGCTGGGGGGCCTTGGCGGGCAGACCACTCTGGTACAAAAACACACAGAGACACAGGGACAGCGTGCCCCAAGTGTGCCAGGGCTACAAGACAGTTTGTGGAACCGATGACTGAAAAACAGATAATGAATGAATGACTCGTGAATACATGACGAATGGGGTGGTAAGTCGATAGATGATTTAATGACTGAGTCAGAAAACAGATGCCCACCCCTTTCAGCAAATGTGATTACAGAATTCCCGACTCCCATGCTTGTTCACGAAACATCATCTTCCACCTACATTTCTCTACGCATAGTTTTGTTCTGGGGAAATCAAAATGATTTAGCGGCCGGTGGAGACGTTTGCCGCGCACTTGTGTGAACGAAATTACTTGGTGAAATCACAAACGCAGCACACATCCTTCTGAAGAAAGAGCGGAAGGAGCCTTGCTTGTGCTGGAAAGAGGAACCGAACCAGAGACCCCGGTGACTTTCTTCACATGCCTTTCAAGGCTCCTCGGTTCTCTGACATAAATTGGCTGAAGCTTTTGACGGCCTGGTTCAGTCGGCGGGTGAGCTTGACATCGCGGTCCGGTTTCATTTGATAGAAGCGACACATGTTGGCCATCTCCTCTGCCGCGGGGAAGTCCAGCTTCTCGTACGCTTCTGGGGTGATCTTTTAAGAACAAGAACACATTCAGGAAATGGAAGAGCCCGCATGGTAAATGAATTGACAAGAAACCATTCACCTGAAGGCTGGATGACAGGGGTCCAAAATTCTTTAACCTGATTCTGAAATCCAAGACACTCTCCGGGTTTTCTCTTGTTTCAGAAGTCTAACTTTTCTGAACTAATTTGGAAACAAGGCCGGATCTGGGACAAGGCTACTTGTAGCCTTCATCCCATTTAGTAGATATATTCATAGCCTTTGCGACAAAGAATATCCATGTGTTTTATTACAGGTTCCTGCCCTGGGCCCTGTGCTGATGTTACATAACCTCTGCAGATCACAGCCTGCCTAAAAGCTGAGGGATTCTGTAATTCAAGCAGCCTCAGACTGCAAGGATTTTAGACAGGTATTCTAGATCTATGAGGAAGCTTCAAGAGTCTGGGGAAATGGAATTAAAAGATAATGAAAAAAATTTTAATGAATTTTTTGAGCTCCTTCATACACCACCCCTCTGTGGTGATTTCATGTGCATCTCCTCAGGGAATTCTCCCAACAGCACCCTGAGATACTCCCCTCTCCCAGGCCCTAGATAAAGCCCCTCAGCCCCCACTCCAGCACTGGGTCTCCCAGGCTTCCTCCTCCTTGCTTAAAATGGACATTTTGCCTGTAACCATTCCAGACCCTGAGCACCCAGAGATACAGCCTGTCACATGTCTACGGGGCCACCACCTGTCTTCCAGCACAAAATCTACCCCGTGAGTCCCTTCGTCTACTAACTAGATCAGTAGTTGCCTCTAGTGGATTAGGTCATATCTTACTATCTGATCCAGCGTAATCTGTCCTTAGGTTCCGGAGATAACCTTGACCTCGGAAACCACTTGGACTTAGAAAAATGCCATAGACACAAACAACTTCTGTGACACAAGGATTGCCACATTGCCATTTGTGAGCATGGAAATTCAAGAACAACTTACATGTCCAACAATGGGGGAATCATTTTTTTAACATTGTGGCATGCCCATTTTTTTAAGAACATCATCTAGCTATTAAAATAGATGTCTTTGAAGGGTTTTTACACTAGGAAAATACATACAAAAAGTTGAAAAGCTAGATAAAAATGCTGCCAAAAGTAGGTTATTTTCATTTTATTATGAATATATATATTACTATGTGTATAGGAGCCACGGTGTAGTTCTGCAGTGGGCTACTGACCAAAAGGTCAGCAGTTCTAAAGCACCAGGCAATCGGAGGGAGAAAGACGAGGCATCCCGCTCCCCTCCACTTGCAGCCTCGGGAACTCACAGGGGCAGTTCTGCCTTGTTGCAGGTTCCGGCTGGGGGCCGAATCCACTCAGTGGCAGTGAGCCGGTTTGGTTGGGGATTGTGAATGCAACTACTGGGAAAGGGACCACGTCTTAACAGCAGCTATCTTTGGGAGGTTAAACTACTTGTGATTTTTATTTTCTCTTTGTATGAGTTTCTCTGTTTTCCTACAATAACCATTTATTTGTGAAATTAAAAAGAAGACGTATCAGATGAGTTTCCAATTAAAAGGGGCTGGTGGAAAATGGAGATGATTTTTTAATGCCTCCTTGAGTCATTCTTTCATCCTGTAATTTTTAGGAAATGACAAATACAAGGAGGCTTCCGAAAAGTAGTGGAAAAAATGGAATTAAAATGTAATAGAATTTCTCCACAAATGTGTGACGCTGCCCCCCTCTCACCCCCAGATCCCCCAATCAAATAAGTCATTCTTTCCTACAGATTGCTGAGGCTGGAGAGGAATATTGAGAGTACCATGGCCTGTTAAAAGGACAACCGATCGGTCTTGGAAGATGTGTGACCAGAGTGCTCCTTAGAGGCAAGGATGGTGAGACTTGGTCTCACACACTTTGGACGTGTTGTCCGGAGGGACCAGTCCCTGGGGAAGTAAAGTAGAAGGGCAGCAAAAAAAAGAGCAAGTCCCTTAAGGAGATGGACGGACTCCGTGGCTGCAGCAATGAGCTCAGGCATGGGAATACTTGTGAGGATGGCACAGGACGCAGCAGGGCTTCCTTCTGTTGTGCAAGAGGTTGCTCTGGGTCAAACGGACTCCATGGCACCTCATAGCAACAACCTAACACAGATTTCTGAAGGAAAGAGATTTGTCTAGTTGTCTCACTTTTTGAGAGAGCCATGTTCCTCCGGAGGTTAGACATAACCCTTTCAGCCACACCAGAGTTCTTCCTGGCCAGCGTTTGCTCTGAGCCATCCCCTCCCTGAATCAGTTAGGCAAACCGCTTCCTAGCCAGAGTAGGACTAGTCAGCCTATGGGCGCCGGGGCGCCACCGTGTGGCCAGATGTATCCTTTCTCAAACCAAAAATCATACACTGTGGCGGGGGAGTATGTGACTTGGCCTGTGTCAGAGGGGAACTGTGTTTCTCAGGATTTTCAAGGTCTGGTTTTTTTCAGAAGTAGATTACCAGGCTTTTCTTCCGAGGTACTGCTGGGTGAACTTGAACCTCCAACCTTTCAGTTAGCAGCTGAGCCCATTAACCAGTGGCCTCACCCAGGGGCCCCTGCCTGAGAATTTCCCCAATCTAGATCTGTGGGTGGTGTTCAAATCAGACTAGTTACTAAGAATAGTACACACAGCATTTTCTAGGACCTCCAGCCTCTAATGTCCTAGAAGTTATGGGGTCAGAACCGTTTTAGCTGCACAATAAAGCAACTTTATCTCCCAGTGGTACATGGCTAAGAGATGCTTGCAAGGTCAGGAGGAGCCCTGGTACCAAAGTGGGTTATGAGTCTGGCTGCTGACCGCCATGGGAAAGCACCCACCGCTCTGCGCTCTGCAGGAGAAAGATGAGGCTGTCTACTGTGTAATGAGTTAGTCTCGTGTTGCATAAAGAGTTAGTCTTGGCAACATGGGTGCATATGCAAATGCAGTGAAGAAAGCTGATGGTGCCCAGCTATCAAAAGATATAGCGTCTGGAGTCTTAAAGGCTTGAAATAAACAAGCGGCCATCTAGCTGAGAAGCAACAAAGCCCACATGGAAGAAGCACACCAGCCTGTGTGATCATGAGGTGCCAATAGGATCAGGTATTAGGCATCAAAGAACAAAAAATCATATCATTGTGAATGAGGAGGAGTGTGGGGTGGGGACCCAGAGCCCAACTGTAGGTAACTGGACATCCCCTTACAGAAGGGTCTCAGGGAGGAGACCAGCCAGTCAAGGTGCAGTATAGCACCATTGAAACATACAACTTTCTTCTAGTTCTTTAATGTTTCCTCCCCTACCACACTATCATGATCCCAATTCTACCTTACAAATCCAGCTAGACCAGAGTATGTGCAATGGTACAGATAAGAACTGGAAACACAGGGAATCCAGGACCGATAAACCCCTCAGGACCAATAATGAGAGTAGTGATACCAGGAGAGAAGGAGAAGGTGGGGGAGAAAGGGAGAACCGATCACAATGATCTACATACAACCTCCTCCCTGGGGGACGGACAACAGAAAAGTGGGTGAAGCAGTCAGCGTAAGACATGAAAAATAATAATTTATAAATTATCAAGGGTTCTCAAGGGAGGGAGGGTGGGGAGGGGGAAAAATGAGGAGCTGATATCAAGGGCTCAAGTAGAAAGAAAATGTTTTGAGAATGATGATGGCAACAAATGTACAAATGTCCTTGACACAATGGATGGATGGATGGATTGTGATAAGAGTTGTAGGAGCCCCCAATAAAATGATTTCATGGGGGCAAAAAAAAAGAGTTAGTCTTGGAAACCCAGGAGGATATGGCACGGGCCCTGGGAGCCACTTGAACCCCGGCGGGGTGTGGGGAGGGGGGCACCACTGAGAAGTTTGATTAGCCATGGCAGTTTCCACAGCCCTCTGTGAGAGACCACTCAGCACGTTCAAGCCAATGCTTTCGTATTTGAGAATCGTCGTGGGTCAAGACAGACTGTGTGATCTTGCTTGGTGGGGCGTAGAAAGAGAAGAAACCACCCCGCCCCCTGAAAAAACAAACCTACTCCCATCGAGTCCATGCTGACTCATGGCGACCCTATCGGACTGGGTGGAACTGCCCTGGTGGGTCTCCGAGGCTGCCAGTCTTTACTGGCACAGAGAGCTTCCTCTATCCCTCAGAGCTGGCTGGTGGTTTCAAACTGCTGGCCTTGCACTTAGCAGCCCCACTCATCACCACTGCTCCACCAGGGCTCCTAGAAAGAAAAGGAACCAGAGAGGAGGGGATGGATTTGAGCACGCCCTGGGCCTTTTCATGAGTGAGAGCAAGGAAGAGCCACTTGTAGTTGTCATGTCATCTGTCATAACATGTTAGGCAAAAGATGAAGAAGCTTGACTTGTATTTTTGAATTGATATTATGGCAAAGTGATCTCAGAAAATGGGCGTCAAATGTTGGATGGGGCAAAATGTGAGTGTTTGCCAGGGATGTGATTTCCCACTGAGAGCTCTCTAGTGCTCAGCAATGAGTGCTTAGATAAGTTGCTGATCTGTGGCTGTGTGCTGACCGTCACTTCCGACACAGTGATGCCACAGGATGGAGTGGAACTGACCCACAGAGTTCCCAAGGCCATGATCTTTATGCAAGCAGACTGTGACCTCGCTCTTCCGTGGAGCAGCTAGTGGGTCCGAACCACCAACCTTTGGGTTGGCAGCTAAGTGCTTCCCTAGTGCACCACCAGCACGCCTCAGAGCTGGTGTGGTGGATCTGAAAAAGTACCACTCTGTTCCTTCTCCCCAGCAGTCATTTTCCTCTAAAAGCTCGAGAGAAAGTCAGAAGGGTGGAATTCAGATGGCACCAACAGACTGGCAGGGGGGGGCGGGGGTGGTGGTGGAACTGGAACCCTCTTCCATTTCTTCTGACTGCCCAAGTTCACGGGCCATTTACCAGAGTTGGTGCTTGGGCGAGATTAACCAACACGGCCTCTTGTGGTCCCATTTGCATCTCAAAAGAACTCACCTTGGCATCTCGGACTTCTTTGCCCAGGAACTTGGAGAAAACATCGGCGTACTGCTGGACGGTGAGAGCTTCTGCACTGAGACCCACAGCCTTGCCGACGAATTCCTTGGGAGAGTTAAAGATGCTGGAGACGATGGGTCCGATGTCATCGACCGAGATGCCATCCATTGGGACATCCCCCATGGGCAGGGCTAGTTAAAAGTGATGAGAAGCGTCCATTACAGGACATCCTCGGCTGGTCCCATCCCTCAAAGGAATCAACTGCTTAGAGACAAGCCGTGGGAGGCGTATCACTGGCGCGCATTTATCTAATCGTTTGGGGAGCTCGTACTGTGGCGCATTACTCACCATACGGTGTGATGTGTGGCAGATGCCTCAGCTCCAGCTCACACTACATTGCCACCGGTTGTGCCCCCCGATGACTCTTAATTGACACCGTGGTATACCTATCTCTCTAGAGGCTGCCTGTGACGATGGCCAGAGGAATGGCCTCATAAAAGCAGAGAAACAATGGCCGGTGGCAGCAGTATTGTAATTACCATGGAGTCCTGCTTTCTGGAACCTCCCTCAGACCTAGGACTGCAGACTCTCGGCAGAAGGGCTGGTGTCCTATCCCCCAGGGGGTCAGGGTCCCTCTGGAGCTCTGCCTCTGTCCAGGGGCCACTGGTCAGGAGAAGAAAGCCTTTCCTCCATGGCCACAAAAGGTGAGATGTGTCAAATGAGCTAGAAGGAGCCTTGGAAGTCACCTGGTCCACTTTTCAGATGAGACATGGAGGCCTGAGGTTACACTGCCAATGTAGTATAGGCATGGTGTGTGGCCTCAAAGGGGAAGCCTTGGTTGACAGTCCAAAATCCACTTCCCTGTCCTCTATAGTGGCAGGGCCCCCAGATGCCCAGGATAATTTGACATCCCTCTCTCGGCGCTTCACATGGAGCTCAGCACATAGCAGACACTCAACTAGTAAGTGCTTGGGAGGGGAAGAAAGGAGGAGAGCGAGGGCGGATGCCTGGTTCAGGTTGGCAGCCACCTGCCCACTTACCCAAGGTGTAGTAATCCCCGCCGGAGGCTTTCACTGGCTTCCACAGAGTCAGGAAGTTTTCGAAGTAAGCTGCCATTCGGACACTGGTCATGGGGACGCCAATGGACCAGAAATACTCCTCCACCTCGCCCTTCCCATCGAAGTGCGGGACCTCCAGCTGGCCACCAGTCAGCCGCTTGACGTTCTCCAGCCCGCTGTACACCACGTGCTGCAGGCCCTGGCGCTTGGCAGCGTCGGCCACCAGCTTTCCCTGGGGACCCAAGAATACACTTCTTACTGAAAAGCGCCCTCCACCCCTCTTTTTCTTGTTGTCCTCATCCCTGGGGAAGAAGAGGCTCTTCTAACATCACAATATATTAAGTTACATTCTGGGCGGCCATTGGTATCCATAACAGAGGCTCTACCTCCAAGAGGTGAAAGCCTTCCGCTTCCTCCTGCAGGGTCTTACAGACAGGGCTGGAGATGGGGTAGGGAACCAGCAGTGTAACATACCCAGTACCTTTCTCCTCTCCCCATTCCACTCTCAGAGTGACCTGAATGGGTGGGGTATCCTTGCTGCCACCCCGACATACCATCTACAAACAAACCTTGAGCACCAGAGAACCAACCAACTGAGTCCTTGCTCTCGAATATCCACATGGAAACTTGGGCAGGTGCTACCTCACCTTCGCTTCATAATAACACCTCTAACACGGACCTAGAGAACGTGGATTTCATAAAGTCCCCAGGGACGTTGAGGAGTGAAACTTCTATTTTCGCCCGGACTAAAGACCAAGCCCCCTTTCAGAGAAGAGAAAACGGTTAGGCTCCCACCTGACACACTTCCTTCTCTTTGCTGTTGTGGTCCCAGAAGTTGGTCACCACGAAGGCCCCGTAGGCACCTTTCAGAGCCGCCTCCACCGACGCCGCATCGTTCAAGTCCCCTTTCACCACCTCTGCCCCAAGGTCTCGCAGCACCTGGGCCTTCGGTCGGGTCACGTCTCTGGTCACTGCTCTCACAGCAAAACGTTTGCTCTCCAAAAGGCTCCTGGCCACTGAGCCACCCTGAGCTCCTGCAGGGGGAGGGCAAGAGGGTGTTTATTACGTTTACTCGGTCAGGGACTGTTAGAGTAACTAATCCAGGAGGAGCCGGCGGCTTGCCAAGAGTAGCTTTCAAGGAGGTCTCCTGAAGTCCCTTCAGGTGGATGGATGCAGAAAGCGCGGGGAGGGGCTGCAGGGGAGGGGTTCACCGCAGGCAGGAAGGATGCCAAGTGACCAGGGCTCCACATCCGGATTCCACAGGGGCAGCTCTTGGGGCTCTTCATAACGTCTATTTTCAGAAGAGGTTCCTCATCTGTGATTTTTAAAGTTAGGAAATTGATGTCAACTAAGTTCACGTGGAAGAAGTACCCCACCATCAGTCACTGAAGGATTGTAAATCATATCCAAAGTCGAAGAACAGATCAGTAGCAGAGCCTAAAGTGCGAGAATCCGGTTTGCAGACGGCTATGGATGACAGTGGGAGCCCAAGCTACATCTGTGGGATCCACGTAGGAAATAAGCCTCCGGTGATCTGTCTACCCATAATTGAAGGATGGGAGGAAAGTGGTTATAAACAGAGTTCATTTGAAGAAATGAGTATAGAAGATCAAAGGAATAAACCTGACTTGAACAGTTAAAAAAATAAAATAAAGTTGGGAAATTGACATGAGAAAATGTAAACTCTCTCCCTCCCACAGTGTTAGGGTTGTGTAGAATAGTTCCGGCTGCAATTCCGGCTCGGGAATCACTCAGAATACAGTCCTGTGAGAAAACGAAGGATGTGATTGCATTCAAAGTCATGCGTAGGGCCATGTCGTGTCTCAAATAGCCATTCTACAACGTCTTGCTAGCGGGCCTCCTGGATGAGTATGTGCTAAGGGCTATGTTGGGGCTACTAACACTTCAAGTCCTCCGTCCAACTGTCTGGGGACCTGACCTGGCTACTCATTTGCTCTTTCAGAACCACCTTGCTCTCCTCCATTCTCCTTAGTACCTTGGGAGACGACTTTTATGAGCTCCATCAATGGGCTCCCTTACACTCCAGTGCAGTTTGGCAAATGGAAGGCAGGGGTCCAGAACAGGCGAGCTGGGCTTCTCTACATTGTTACTTTATCCAGGTTTGGGTAATCACCTTTACGCTTTGTTCCTCTCTGCTGTGGCTTAACTCTTCCATCTTGTCCTCCTCTCTGCTCACTTGGATATAATTTCACCATAAAATGGTGATGCATGTTTCCCAGGGACGCCTGGTGATAGATACATCACTGATAAGCTCCCGGACGATCCACTAGCCAGTTAGCCCTGCCCTTGGGCACAGAGCTTCAACCAAAGGATCATGCCATGGGAGTAAACAGCAGCAACAGGCAGCAAAAGTTCACCAAATATTTGAGGAAAGCCTTTAAGTTGAAAGGCAAAAATTAAAACAAGCAAGCAAAATAAGGAAGCAATACAAGAAGAGAAAGGGGAAATTTTAAAATAATTAATATCCTCATTAAAAAAACTCGCTGCCATTGAGCTGGTTCCAATTCATAACGACCCTTGAGGACAAGGTCAACCTGCTCTGACACTGTAACTGTTTATAAGAATAGAAAGCCTTTCTCCCACAGAGCAGCTGGTGGGTTTGAACTGCTGACGTTACGGATCGCAGCCCAATATATAACCACTACATCATCAGGCTCCTTCAATATCCTCATAGATTAAAGAGGCTGCATTCAGAACATAGCTCTTCATAATGCGCCAAGAAATGGGGGATGGAGAGAGGGAGAAGGAGACGAAGCAGCTCTCACAAATGGAAGGTTTTGTAGCAGAATGGGAAAATACCAATAGAAATTTTTGAAGAAATCTTCTAAATAAATGGAAAATGGGTATGAGAAAATGATTAGATGATCCAGCCAGGAACGTTTCAAAATGAGAGAATGGGCAAAAGGGAGTTGGGACAGTTATCAAAGAAGATGCTTTCCCGGAGTGCAAGGAGATTGGTGGAGCTTCCACACTGATAGGTTCCACCGGATTCCCAGCAAAGCGAGGGAAGTTGCATATTATGCGCATCACTGAGAGTTCAGAGCCCTGGGAAGAGAGCATCTTACAAAGCTTTCGGGTGGGGGAAGTGGTCAATCTAAAGAAAGAAAATTAGCATCAGATCTCTTAATAACATTGGAAGTAATGGAGGAATGTCAACATCCTTTCAGAGGAAGATTTAATTTTCCTGTTATTTAGAATTCTAAACCTAGTCAAATGACCAGTAAATTCTAACCATCCTGAAGAATTGCCAGGCACCCAAGCTCTCAAAAAGTTAACTCCCATGAATTCTTTCTCTAGAAACTAGTGGAGCGAAAAGAACCAAACGCCAGAGAAAGACAGAGGATTGCCAGACTGGGGGGGAACGGGAGCCCTAAGAAGAAGCAACCAGTAAAAGGGATTGCGCCAGGAGGGTGGTCTTCCCAGAGGAAAAAGAGCCCATTGATTGGCGGTTTTGATCCTTGTCAGAGAAATGCACACACATACACACACACACACACACACACACACACACACACACATTCTTACTGGAGAGATTAGAGAAGTAATGAACACAAAGACAACTCACAACAACCACACATCACTGCCATCCAGTCAATGTCGACTCATCGCGACCCTGTAGGACAGGGTCCAATTGCCCCTGTGGGTTGCCAAGCCTGCTACTCTTTTTTAAGTTTTTTACTCTAACTCTTTACAGGATAGAAAGCCTTGCCTTTTCCCACAGAGTGGCTGGTGTTTCCGCCACCAGGGCTCCTTACAAAGACAGCTAAGAAAATGAAACGATTGAGAAACGATGTACAAATGCGCTTTACACAATTGATGTGTGTATGGATTGGGATAACAGTTGTATGAGCCCCTAATAAAATGTTAAAAAAAAAAAAAGACAAAAGACAAAAAAAAAAAAGAAAATGAAACGAAAGGCAATGATAAATTTCAGGGGGAAAAAAGCAATTATGTAAGGGAAGAAAAAGTGTGGCCAGTGCACTCAAGTGTGAATGGCAGTCCCGCAGCCCTACCAAGGGTCCATATCAGCCCACAACCGTGTGAAAAGCACAAATGGTTGTCAACTCCATGGGAGGCTAGGGAGGAAGGGAGTGCATGCTTGGGAGTGGGCTGTAGAAGAGCTAATGAAATAAATATATATACTGCTATACTAGGGTTATCACATCATTTAGAAGTATGGAGTCAGATACCAATAAAAAACAGAAAAGCTAAATGCAGAAATGAGTGAGACAAGGTTTGCTGGTTTTCTGAATAAGTCTTGTATGTCTCTAAGTTGTTTAAACTACATACATGCTTTTTTAAAAATCAATAGCTTTATGTGTGTGTGTTTGTATCAAAATAAATAACGTTTTAAAGTGTTGTCTGGTTATTTTAATTATTTCCTTACAACTCTCCTATTAAATCAGGCATTCCTTGAGGACAGAAACTGCTTCCTTATTATTCCTGCTTCCTAACCAATGTGCCTGGCACATTAACTAAAAGGTAACTCGCTGCCATCAAGCCAATACTAACTCATAGTGACCCTATAGCACCAGGTAGAACTGCCCCTGTGAGTTGGGAAACTCTGTTTATGAGAATAGAAAGCCCGATCTTTCTCCTGAGGAGCTCTTGGTGGTTTTGAGCTCCAGACCTTGTGGCTCCCAGCCAACTGCATTACCACAATACCACCATGAACACTTACTTGCCTGGCACACTTCAAGTTCTAACTACCTATTTGTGGGTTGGATGGATGGATGGATGGATGGATGGATGGATGGATGGATGGATGAGTGGATGGATGGGCAGATGGATGAATAAAAGAATGAACAGATGATTGAGTGGAAGGATTGAGGTCTCTATGTTTGGGGGCTCTCAGCTTTGCAGGCTAACCCGTCCTTCCTGGATCAAAGTGAGGTTGAAAAGCAAATGGCCTGAACTAACTAGCATGAAGAAAGAAAAATAGTAGTTGGATCTAAACCAACACTGATTCACCGAAGCTATCCCATTTTAATACTTAACCAAAAGTAGGGCCTGGAGAGGAATTCATCCACCTTGACCCTGCTCCTCAAAGGGAGCAGGACTCACCCATGACTCCAACTGCTTACAAAAGCAATCCCAAAGCACCCGTTCTGTTACGCAGTGGTCTCAGGCCCGACCTGCTTCTGGGCCTGCCCTCCTTAATCCACTTCTCTTCCAGGTGACTTCAGGCTGAAGGTAGGCATAGCACAGGTAAAGGTTAACGTGTATTCGGAGTGCTCAGTGCCAGCATGTTTATGTACAAATGCACGTGTCTTCCCTGGTGGGAAAGAAATCGATATGCCTTCCTTTGGCTGGAGGAGGCCTGGTGGCAGAGTGGTTATGCATTGGGTGACTAACTGCAAAGTCAGCAAGTGGAAGCCACAGGCCCTCCACGGGAGAAAGATGAGGTTTTCTAACCCCCTAAAGACTTACAGTCTCAGCAAGCTACAGGGGCTGTTCTACTCTGTCCTATAGGGTCACGGTGAGATGCAATCTGTTGATAGGAACTCTATTTTTGATACCAAATCTATTTTAGAACCAGAATGAGCTTGTCCTTTGGCGGGAGCTATCTGAGGTAGGGGCCCAGTGAGGGAAAGCAGCCTGCCAGGTTCTGCCAGTTCTCCCCTTGCTCAGCATCCCTGGCGTCACCACTGCCTCCAAGGAAGGACCTCTTGGCTCTTGCTTTTGCTCAGTTCCCAGGGTCTGGGAGTGTAGCAAGACTCTGCCTGGATGGAATGGTTCTTTACATCCCTCTTCGCCCAGATGCCATTGCCACTTTCGTTCTGACTAAATATTGGACATTGGAGCAGGCGTTTTTATACAAAATAATAATCTCTATTCCAATAATAATGTTTGAGATGTGATTATCAATGTATAAGTAGAAAGTTAAACTCAGCTAAAATAAGTAATTTCCCTAAGGTAACACAGACCTGAGCAGAAATAAGCAAACCAACTCTGTCTGATCTGGAAATCTATTTCTTCCCGTCTTAAGCAATTCTGCCTCTTACTAGTGCAGATCCTTGTACAATGTGTCCCCATCTGTACGTGGTGCTTTAACACCTACTTCCACCTGTGTGAGGGTGAGGGAGTGGGGGGGGGGGTGATATGTGTGAAGCAGTCAGCACATTGCCTGGTACCTTGCAGGAACTCTTACTATCCTACTTCACCCTGTAAGTTTGAGCAGAAACCTGTGCTAGGAACACCACAAGACCTAGACTTTGTAAGCCTGCACCAGGGTTCTGGAAGTTTCAGGCCTTGTAGGAGATCAACAAGAACTGTGGCCACTGCTCCTGGACTTAGCTGCTGCCAATATTGGCACAAGGTGTCCTTAAACTAAGTTGGACCGATAAACTACAGGATGTTTCAGTGCGGGAATTGTGCCCGGTCTGACCCACACACATACCGGGGCAAAGAATGAAGGGAACACAACAGAGCAGCAAGGGGAGCAAAGCAACAAAGGCCCCGAGGAATCCTGAAAATAGACTTCAAGGACAGGCCTTGACACCTCATGAGACTCAATCAGAACACTGCATAAGGCTCAGCAAACACACCTGGAAGTATTTATGGGCCCCTTTTCTCCTTCTTCTTCTTCTTGCTCATATCTATATAAGATAGGAAAGATAAATAATCCCAAGGAGAAAACAACGGGACCTATGGTTCCTAGGGGACATGGGATAGGGGGATGTCGGGGGAGAGAGGGGGGAGCCAACCAACCCAGGAACAAGGGAACAGCAAGAAATCTGAACTTGATGACGAGGAGGGCGTATAATGCCTGGTGGGGTTCAATCAAGGGCACTGTAGCCGAAAGGAACTTCTGAGAGCCTAATGAAGATCAAACATGATAGTGGGACAGGAAGAAAGTAAAAGGAAATAGATGACATGTATACAGGCATGTACATATGTAAATATATTAATATATAAGGATAGGGATATAGGCCTATGTACATATATGTATATGTTAAGTACCAAGGTTTCAGATAGACAATGGGCCTCTACTCAAGTCCTCCCTCAATGGAAAAACATTTTGTTCTAAGAACCTGGCATTCTGTGATACTCACCTTTCCAACACGATCGCTGAAGATAAAATGAATGCATAAGCAAATGTGTTCAATAAAGCTGATGATGCCTGGCTATCAAAAGATATAGTGTCTGGGGTCTTCAAGGCTTGAAGATAAACAAGCAGCCATCTAGCAGGGAAACAACAAAGCCCACCCACATGGAAGAAGCACACCAGCCTGTGTGATCCCGAGGCGTCGACAGAATCAGGTATCGGGCATCAGAAGACCCAGAACAATCATACTGATGCGAATGAGTAGGGTCAGAATAGAGACCCAAAGCCCATCTGTAGACAATTGGACATTCCCTCATGGAAGGACCACAAGGAAGGGACGAGTCAGCCAGGGTACAGTATAGCACTGACGAAACGCAACATTCCTCTAGTTCATCAATGCTTCTTCCCCACCACTATCATGACCCCAGTTCTACCTTACAAATCCAGCTAGCGGAGCATGTACACTGGTACAGATACAAGCTCTTGACACGCAGAATACAGAACAGGTAACAACCCCCACCCCCGCACCCCTGGAACAGTAATAGGAGTAGCAATACCATGAGGGTAGGGGGAAGATGGGGGTAGAAGGTGGAGAAAGGGGAAACTGATCACAAGGATCAATGTATTACACAGACACACAGACACCCCGAGGGGGACGAACAACAGGACATTGGTGAAGGGAGACAGCAGATGGCGTAAGATATGAAAACAATAATAATTTATAATTTATCAAGGGTTCACGAGGGTGGGAGGTGGAAGAGGGAGGAAAAAAAGAGGAGCTCAAGGGCTCCAAGGGTTCAAGTAGAAAGAAAATGTTTTGAGAATGATGGTGGCAACACACGTACAAGTGTGCTTGACACAATGGATGTATGGATTGTTATAAGAGCTGTAAGAGCCCCCAATAAGACTATTTATTTTTTTAAATGCATTCACAGCTACAAAAAAAACAGACTACATTTATAGCCATGGTTTTTAAATATGGTTTGTGTATCTTTTTATATTATAGGGAGCTTCAAAAGGTTCATGGAGTTAAAAAATAATGGAATTTTTCCACAAGCTTTCACAAGCCCCTTTGTATGTATGCAGGTATATATGTATTAATAGATATCTGTGCCTCATTGGTAATGTTTCCCACCCCCGAAGACAAATAAAGATGGGATTTATAATGATATTGATAATAAAAGACAATAGTAATGAAAACTGGGGGGTGGGGAGAATGATACAAGATGTCCAATTAAATTTAATGTCAAGTTAATAATGGATCATTTTTCAATACCAATTTGTTTCATGAGATATCTGGGACTCACACCAAATACCTTTTCACACCCACTCCTTGCTTATCAGCATGGTTAGGTTCCAAAGACCGGGTCATGAAGCAAAAACCAGCATTGTGTAAATGGAGGATGTCCCGATCGAGGCACAAAATGACAGGTGGCTGCGTCATTCCACAACTGCCGAGCCACTGAGAATCATGGCCCAGCCCACCCAGCTGACACAGAACCTGAGCCACTGCAGCCCGCGTTCCTCGGGGCTCCCACCTCACTTCTGTTACTGCCAGACTTGTCGTTCATGAGCAAAATAGTCAGCTAGTGCTTTTACTATTGTTGCACATGTGCGATGCCAGACAATGAAATCTTTGAGAAGTGAGGGGTAGGTGCATGGGATATACTGATACTAAAAAAAAAAAAAAATGTTGTTAATTACTAAATCTTGCAACTCTGCCTCAAACACCCCAGGGCACCCAGCCTGGGAGCAGCTCACCTTGCTGTGCTCCAGGGCTCCTGAACCAGTGCCAAGAGTTAAGCAGTAAGTTAGTCAGAGTCAGCCCTGCCCATTTAGCTAACTGAGAGTCAACATCTTCAATGCTGACTCATCTAACCTGGTTCCCTTGCACACCACTCCTGAGGATCTCTGTCCACCCTCCGAGCGCCCACAGGTTTAACTCTTGCCCAGATTGCCACGTCAGCGTTGAAGGTCCAATGAGACCTACCTGCAGCTCTTCTTCCTCCACCCTCAACCCTCTCCGTTTCAGTTAGCTGCATGTTGATTCTTCCACTTGCTCTCAGCAGAAATTTTTGGAAGTTTTAAAGTTATTCTTCATTCCTCTCTTCTTACCCTTGATATATATCCGGCGCACCCACAAGCCCTATCAGGTCCATCCTTGTAATATTCCCAGGGTCTGATCACTCCCATCTCATTGCTTTTATTCCTGATCTAACCCTGATTGAAGGCAGCAGCCTCCCCCCACTGTCCCTGCTTCAGCCTTCTCCTCCACAGTCTTCACCCAACAGAAGCACAGGATCTTTTTAGCACCAATGTCACTCAGCTCAAAATCGCTTACTGGCTTCTCATTTCTCTCAAGAAAATCAAATCCCTTAATGCCATATACAGGGAGCCCCCTACCTCACTACTGTTTTGTTTGTTTGTTTTTCTTCTGCTTACGATCAATAACATAGCTGCCCATCAGTTTTTACCACTTTATTTCACTGCCCTCCCTCCGGCAATCCTTGGCTCCTTTCAGACAAAAGCCCAGAATTTTCATTTTAGTGAGACAGATAGTAACAAAATAATAATAATGTTAGGTGGTGCCAGGGAAGAGGCCCTGGCAGCATAGTGGTGGCGAGTTGGATAAGTAATCGCAAGATTAGCAGCAGTTTGAAACCGCCAGGTAGCTCCTCCAGAGAAAGACGAGGCTTTCTACTCCCATCAAGGGTCCCAGTCTCAGAAACTCCCAGGGGCAGTTCTACCCTGTCCTGCAGGGTCCCGAGAAGTGGACATCGCCTGGGTGGCGGTGAGTGTTTGAGTGCCCTTGTGACTCTGGAGGTCTGCAACGGCCTCACAGGGCGGGTGGCCTTTGACTGGAGGGCTGGGTGAGAAGAAGGGCAAAGTGAAGGGGGCAACTGAGGAAGCATGGTTCTGAGGAAATGCAAAGAGGCCAGGATGGCTGGTGTAGAGCGAGCCAGCGAGGGTGACATGGGGGGAGGACCACGTGAGGCGGGTCTGGCTGTGGAAGCGCTATGAAACCTGTTTGGAGTTAGATGTGCAGCCACTGGACGAGTCCACACACAGGGTGACATGCTCTGACTTAGTTTCAAATGAATGGGTCACCCTTGACACTGAACGCTTTCGGGAGACGGCTCTGACTGCTGCAGCCCAGCTCGGTCCCAGGCAAGGCTGAAACGCCTCCGCGGGTGCCCTCGTGAGAAAGGTCGCTTGGGCACGTGCTTCTAACCCCCGACTCCCTTCTTGTCAGAATCGCTGGTGCATTGGGCAGGCACGTTGATCTATGCACCACAGAGACAGACACCCAGGTCCCTTGTGCTTAGCAGGAAGTGGGGGAGGAGCCTCCTGCACAGGACGGTTTGTGTTGAAATGAACTTGGCACCAAGTTGGCTGAGACGGAGAAAGGCAGAATGGGTCAGAGATGCCCCCCGTCCGGCTGGGATCATTTCTGACAAATCAACTCCACCCCTCACCCCCACCCCCCTGCTGCCTTTTACTCTATCCGAAGTTCGAGCAAAAGCACTCTTTTCTAGATTCCCTTCAGTGGCCTCTTTGTTCAGCCCCCGGATGCAGTGAAAGCAAGAACAAGCAGAAAGGAAAGACCTCCTTTACCTGTGGCTCCGAACACTGTGATCACTTTCTTGCTGGCCATGTTCCTGGAAGAGCCAAGGGAAGGGCGAGCAGAGAGCAAGTGCTTGTCTCCGGGCAGTGGCAGCCGCTGAACGGTGGTTTCTCCTTTCCAGCAAGAACTTGCCTCAGATCAGCAGCGGCAGCAGCTGGAGGGAGTTTCTCTCTTGCAGCAGGAATTCTAGGGCAAGTGTGTGCCCTGGAATCCCTTCTGATTTATAGCCGCTCTCCGTTGATCAGAACGTGGCTGATTGGTCGGTTGTGAGGCTTCAAATTGGCCACCACACCTTGTTCGCCCCTCCCTTCCAACGTTCCCATTGTGACCACTAGCTCCATTACTCACTCTGACACTGCACTTTTCTAAAGTAGGGTTCACTCACTCCCCTTTGGTTCCGCCGATATTTATCGGTGCCTGTCACTCGCTTAGGAGAACGACTTCTTTCTTCTCCCATGAAGAGTTACAGTCTCAGAACCCCACAAGGGCAGCTCTCCTCTACAGGACTGCCAGGAGGCAGCATTGACTCGGTGGCAATGAGCCTGGTTGGGTTTTATCACTCACTCCTTTGCTCAGCATCTGTGCATTGAATGCCTTTGGCATAGCAGGCATTGAACTAGAGCCTGGTAGTTTGGATCTTTTCAAGCAGATAAACTTGTAAGTAAAAGTTCAATGCAGAGGCATGGCAGCAGGAAGCTGGGGGGACCTGGGTCATGGAAGAGAGGATAAAATGCAAACTAGATCGTTAGGGAAGATTTTCCAGAGGAGTCCACATCAGAGCAGGCCTGAAGACCCCACGTGAATTACTCAGCGAGTGAGGTGGGAGGGTCAGAGGAGAGACCATGCCAGACAAGAGGAGTCACGTGCCATTCGGTACACATTTGTTTGCAATGACGCTGCAACAATGCTATGTGAATGTCAGAAAAAAGCCTGAAAGAAGACAAAGACCACCGCATGAAAGGCATTTGTACGCACTTCAAGGTGGGGGGGCGGGGGCTGGATTGAAAAATATAAGACTGAAAGCAGGGACATTCCTAAAGAGGCTAAAGAAATAATACAGATGAGAAATAATGAAGACTTGAAAAAACCCGAATAGATCTTGTACATCCACAGTTTGGAAGACTTAATATTGTTAAAATGTCAATACTAAGTAAAATAGTCTATACCTCCAATGCAATCCCAATGCAACTTACAACAGCCTTCCTGTCAGAAATGGAAAACTCGATTCTCAACTTTACCTAGAACAGAAAGAGGTCCTAATAGAATAGCCAACACACTCCTGCTAGACAAGAAGGAAGGAAGAGGATTCATACTTTCTGATTTTAAAACATTATATTTGGGGAGACAGCAACGTCCATTGGCATAACATAGCCCACAAGGACTGTGCCACATTCTAATTTGATGAGTGGCAATCAGGCGGGGTCTTAAAAGATTATGAGTGGCAATCTATGGAGCAATGCTTGCCCTTTCCCCATCGAAACAAAGAAATCTGAAGAGGAGCAGAAACAATGAGTCCAATAAACTAAAGGCCACGCAAACCTCAGCCTCGTTACCATGAAGTCAGAAGACCCAGATGGTCCTGGAAACCACTGCTGATCCCTCTGAAAGGGATCCCATTAGGAAGTCCTGGGTAGAATGGAAGAAAAGTGTGAATTAAGACCCAAAATCATCACTACCAGTCACACAAGTCAGATAGAGCCAGTGGAGCCCCTGAGATTATATGCATCAGTCAGCCTTCAGGCCTGGAACTCATCCTAATGGCTCTATTTTATTTTATTTTATTGTTACAGCTCTGATCACAATCCATACAGATATCCATTGTGTCAAACACATCGGTACATAGGTTGTCATCATCTTTTTCAAAACATTTTCTTTCTACTTGAGCCCTTGGTATTATGTCCTAATTTTTCCCTCCCTCCCCCATGTCCCCTTGATAATTTATAAATTATTCCTTTTTTATCTTTATGTCTTACACTAACCACTGTCTCCCTTCCCCCATTTTCCTGCTGTTCGTCCCGTTGGGAGGAGGGCCATATGTCAATTATTGTGATAGGTTCCCCCTTTCTCCCCACTCCTTACCCTCCTAGTATCACTGCTCCCCTTATTGGTCCTGAGCGGGTTATCAGTTCTAGATTCCCTGTGTTGTGAGCTCTTATCTGTACTTGTATACATGCTCTGGTCTACTCAGATTTGTAAGGTGGAATTGGGTTCATGATTGAGTGGAGGGGGAGCATTAAAGAACCAGAGGAAGATTATGTGTTTCGTCGGTGCTGACTGGCTCCCCTCTTCCCCATGGTCCTTCTGTCAGGGGGGTGTCTCCACTCTGCCCTCCCCCTCATTCCCATTGATATGATTTTTTTGTTTTGTTTTGTTTTGTGTTGTTTGGGGCGTTTGATGCCTGATACCTGATCCCATCAACACCTCATGATCACATAGGCTGGTGTCCTTCTTCCATGTGGACTTTGTTGCTTCTCAGCTAGTTGGCCGCTTGTTTATCTTTAAGTCTTTAAGACCCCAGACACTATATCTTTTGACAGCCAGGCACCATCAGCTTTCTTTACCACCTTTGCTTATGCACCCATTTTGTCTCAGCGATCGTGTCAGGAAGGTCAACATCACAGAGTGCCATGTTAGTAGAACAAAGTGTTCTTGCGTTGAGGGAGTACTTGAGTGGAGGCCCAATGTCCATCCACTACTATAATACTTAATACGTATATGTGCATACATATATTCCCCTGTCATTATATATAAATGTATTTACATATATTCATGCCTGTATTTAGACCTCTATAAATGTGCTTTATCTTCCCATTCTTTCTTCTATTTCCTTTTACTTTCCTCTTGCCCCACTAACATGTTCAGCCTTCATTCAGGTTTTAGTAATTCCTCTCAGCTACATTGCCCTTCATTGAGCGCCCCCCCACCCCCAAGCCCTCCTCACCATCAATTTTAGATCAGTTATTCTTCCCTTGTCCCTGGGTTTGCTAGTACCTCCCTTTATTTCCCCCACCTCCCCCTCTCCATGTCCCCCTGGAACCATTGGTCCCCTTGTTCTCTCCTCCAGATTGTTCATCCTGCCTGTCTTGTCCAGGTAGATATGTATAGACAATAATATGCACAAAAACAAAGCAAAGCAAAACATAACCAAAAAAGACAAAAAAACAAATCAACAGCAGCTAATACAACAAAATAAACAAACAAACAACACAAAGAAAGGAAAAACTCTCAAACAGTTACAGATATGCCCGTTGATTTTTATGCATGTTTTACAGTCGAGTCCGCTGGGGTCTAATGCCTCTATTTTCAACCAAACAACAAACAGGTGAAAAATAACACTAGGAAGGTATGTCTCCATTAAAATAATTAACCCTTCAAGATCAAAAGGGCAGCATTTGTCCAAGAGCAAAGGTCAGAAGACAAGAAGGCATAGGAAGGAAGGAATAATGAATCAAAACCGGAAACACTGAGAGGATGTGGGACAAGTAATGTTGCATTGTGGAGATTACAATTAATGACATGAAACCAAATGTGTATGAAATGTTGAATAGAAAATTGATTTGCTCTGTAAACCTTCACCCAATTCACAATAAAAAGAAGGGGCAAAGAAAATAACATACCACACAGCTTCAGTAATCAAAACAGCTTTGAACTAGTATAACAGTAAACACAAAGGCTGATATAGATAGAATTGAGAGTCCAGAAATAAACCCACACATCTATGGTGAGTTAGTTAATTGTGCCAACCTGGCCGATAATCACATGTGGGGCTAATTGAAAGGC